AGAGAGAGAGAGAGAGAGAGGGGATGCTCCAGGTGTGTTCTCAGAGAGAGAGAGAGAGAGAGAGAGAGGTGTCGGTGGAATGCTCCAGGTGTGTTCCCAGAGAGAGAGAGAGAGAGAGAGAGAGAGAGGATGCTCCAGGTGTGTTCTCAGAGAGAGAGAGAGAGAGAGGAATGTAACATCTCGAAACATGATGCTAGGGAAATGGTCCCCACATAAGCTGCTCACGCTTTGGAAGCGGGGACTTCCGTCATGCAATGTGTGTGAGGTATACTGACTCAATACTGAGTGTTCATTCATTGAATGGCAGCATCTATATATTTGTTTTTTTTTGTTTTTCTTTTTCTTTTCTTTTTTTTGGGGGGGGAAGGGGTGTAACTAGGGCGCAGTCACGATTTCAGTTTAAAATCCAGTCCAGGCATCCCTCGAATACAACACATCCCCACCTGAACCTAAAGCTAGGTTGTATACATTCTCGATTTTCCTCCCTTTGACACAAGCATTCACAGAATCGTGATTGAAACGCATTTTCAAACTGAAACCGTGACAGCGCCCTAGTTTTTTTTTTTTTTTTTAGTTTTCCCTTTGTTTTGTTTTTGGAATTGTCTTTTCTTGACAACACTTGTATAGCCGCGGTTCCATCTGGCACAGAGGCCGTGCCGGAAATCAGTACCAGCCCCTGCAGAGCTAGGAAGGCGCTACCGTCTCTTCACCCCAATAGAACGCCGGGTCATTATAGTTGTATTTGTATTTGGTGCAACATGCAGTCTTGGTGCAACTTTCATTATAGTTGTATTTGTATTTGTATTTGGTGCAACATGCAGTCTTGGTGCAACTTGCAGTGTAGACGCGGCGACGGGCGTTCTTTTCGCGCCAAGACGGTAGAGCCTGCAAGCCTGGCACAAAGAGCTGGAGGCACAGAGACAACAGGCAGGCAAAACACACACGCCACGCTCACAGTCAAGACTTTCCTAAATAAGAAATCCGGCTGCAATTGCGGCGAGATCTAAATGAATCTGACTGCAATCACGTCCAGAGCTAAGACTTTCTTTAATGTGTAAGGCTGCGATTGTGGCAAGATCTGGACGAATGTAGCTGCAATCACGTCCAGAGAGCTTAGTCAAAAAAAGTCCTACGGAGAGTATGCCCACAGAATCATAGACAGATAGCCGGGCGGGTGGGCAGGAGGGAAAATTTGGAAAGCTGAAAAAAACAAGAGAAAAACTTTGACAGACAAATTCCTCAAGAACCGAGACGTCTGTGAGCCATTCTCAAAAGCCGAGGCTGGTTGGAAGCCGGGGGGGGGGCGGGAGTTTGCGGACGTACAGAGACGTCAGCACCTACTGACTACATATCATGGCCTGATCTTTGAAGGCCCCATACTCGCACCCGGCTTGTAACATGACAGGAAACCAAAAAGAGGGGAGGACTGGCTGTTTATAACCCCTTTTCGACCCCTTTATAACCCCTTAACAGACACATCGAAGTAGACGTGCCTGTTAACGTGGTCAGCGTTCTACAACGCCACCCGCAGGACCCCTCCGGCAGACCCCTTTATAACACCTTGACAGACACATCGAAGTAGACTCCTCCGGCAGACGATCGTTCCAGAAGCACGGCAGCGTTCTACGACGTCACCCGCAGGACTCGATAGATGGCGACTATTATCATAGAGAACTGCACACGCCGTGCGGGCTCGCGGATGGGCAGGCAGAGTCGAGAGGAACGGAGGCAAATACAAGGATCGCCTTTGGTACTGCGACGACCACAGATCTCTCTGTCCTACCAGCAGCTAACACAGGTACTTGACGAGCAGCAGCTCGGTCCGAACCAGAGGCAGGCGGACAACGATGACAAGGCTGACCTTGTGGTGCTTGGCACCATAGCGATACCAACAAATGAACATACCTTAAGCAGTCAATAGGTTGAGTGAAGGACTCACAGAACTGGCATCTACATGACGCTCTACAAATCTCATCGTCCACCAAGCAAAACAGCTGAATCACCTCCCCTCTCCCATTCTCTACCAGACAGACAACAGTTCTACCCTACCTATCTCACTGTCAGCAGGACCTGCTCAAAAAAAAAAAAAAAGCAGGACCTGCTCAGCTCTGTCATAGGAGCATTCCTCAGACGGACCCTTTAAAAATAGAAACAAACAAAAAAACAAAACAAAAAAAAACAAAAAAACAGGGGATGACTGACTTAACCACCAGTCCATCCAACCCTCGATATTTTCCGAACCGAATTTCTGCCACATGCCAAGAGAGAACGAACCAGTTATGGGACACGGAATTGCGACCTTTTGTGCCTGGTGCCACAAGCCTTTTTCCATCTGGGGGGGGGGCTAGCCCCCAAAAACGCGGCGCGCCAAAAAGGAATGAACTGGAGTGGGTGCAAAATTGAACTGTTTGCCTGCCGCCATGCCACAAAAGAGCAAACCGGCATGGGAGCGAAATTGCATCATTCCGCCTGGCAGCACCGGCCTTTTCCGTCTGGTAGGCCCGAGCCCCCCACAATGCGGCGGGTTAACCGCCACSTCAGAACAAAGCAGCTGGGAAAGGGACTGGTAGTTTAAGAGGAATCAAGTATGTCTCTGCACCAGCCTTTCCGCCTGGTAGGCCCGAGCCCCCCACAATGCGGCGGGTTAACCGCCACATCAGAACAAAGCAGCTGGGGGAAAGAGACTGGTAGTTTAAGAGGAATCAAGTCTGTCTCTGCCTGGAAGCACCAGCCTTTTTCCGTCTAATAGGCCCGGAGCCCCCCGCAATGCGGGCGGCGGGTTAACCGCCACGTCGGAACAAAGTAGCTGCAGAAAAGACGGGTAGCTTAAGAGGAATTAAGTCTGTTTGCGCGTACGGACAGTCAACAAGCTGGCATCTATATCTAGAGCTCTACAAATAGCCTCCTTGACATGCCCACAAGGAAAGTGTCGAACGTCGGACGAGGATTGGAGGTGGCTCAACGTCTGTGAATTCAGTGATCGACCAAGGCGCTTCGCGTCAACCTTTGGGAAGATGCATTCTTGGAATCCCAGTTTGGCTGCCTCTGCCAGCCTTCTATCTACCTGTCCTACCGACCGTAACTCGCCTCCGAGGCCAATCTCGCCGACGAACGCCACATTCCGACGGATGGGCTTATCGAGGAAGCTTGCTGCGACAGCGATGGCCACAGCAAGATCTGCCGACGGCTCTCTGAGTTGCAGGCCCCCGACCACATTCACAAACACATCTTGGTTCCACAGCCTCATTCCGACCTGTTTGTTGAGAACGGCAAGGAGCATATGTAGACGCATAGGGTCGTACCCCGTGCACGCACGTCGACCAGGAGGCTGGCTAGTACCCGAGCACAGGGCCTGAATCTCGACGAGCAGCGGCCGAGTTCCTTCCATAACCACCCCAACTGCACCAGCAGCAGCGTTGCAGTTCTTCCTCTCACTGCCGCCCGCGTCCAAATAGCCATCTCTATCACCCAAGAATAGCTGGCTAGGGTTGGAAACTGCAGCAAGCCCCTCTTCCATCATCTCAAAGACCCCGACCTCGTTCGTTGAGCCGTAGCGGTTCTTTACGCAACGCAGCAGCCTGTGGGACTGCAGCCTCTCCCCCTCCATGTACAGCACTACGTCGACCATGTGCTCAAGAATTCTTGGGCCCGCGATGTCCCCAGACTTGGTCACATGCCCGATGAGGAAGATGGGAGTATCACTTTGCTTCGCCGCATGCATGAGCGCAGCCGTGCACTCTCGCACCTGACTCACGCTCCCCGCGCTCCCGGTCGCTTCCTGCAAGTAGACCGTTTGAATGGAGTCAATGACTACGGCTCGCGGCTTCAGATTCACCATCGCTTCGAGTATCATCTCCATAGAGTTGGTACTGTAAAGGAACAGGTTCTCGCTCTTGATCCCCATTCTCTCGGAGCGTGAGCAAACCTGTTGAGCGCTCTCTTCCCCGGAAACGTAAAGGACCGGGGACATCGACGTTCCGGCGCTGACATTATCTGTGCTGACAAGCCTCTCTCCCTCCGACAAAAGCCCGGCTACTTGGAGAAGAAGGGTGCTCTTCCCCACCCCCGGATCACCACCAACAAGAACGAGTGACCCAGGTTCAAGCCCTCCACCCAACACACGGGCGAGCTCACTGCCATTCGGCCCGCCGAGAGTGATCATCCTCGTGCCCCGCAGCCCATCCTTCCCAATATCAATCAGCCGCCGAGGTCCGGCTATCATGTTATTCACCCAGCCCCCTCCGCCCCCATTCTGTGCACTCCTCCCCTGTTCCGATCGCTTTGCCGTGTCCCCGTTCAGCCCTAAAGCATCAGGATTCTCTGCACCGAAGCTTCCTGCGATGCTCTGCAGATCCGCTGCAGCTGCAACTTTCGCCACAGCACGCGCAGCTGCGCCGCCTCCTCTTGCACCCCCTTTTGCCCCAGCGCTGCCCGGCGCATCATCTAAGAACTCAGCAGGCACTAGCTTGATGCTGTTCATTTCCTCGCAATAATTACAAACGCCAAACCACTGAGCATGGATCTCCCCGCAATTGGTACACATGTATGGCCGCGACTCTTTCTTCTTCTTCAATCCCCTCAGATTGATCCCACCGCCACCTTTGCCGCTTCCTCCCTGTTGCATAGCGCCAGCTCGAACCAGCGACTTCGAAGTCAAACTTGTGTAGCTGCGACTCGTCGTAACAAAACCTTGAAGACTACCACTCACGGCTCCAAACGCTTCGATACCCCCACCAGCCTTCTTCTCGTTGAGCTTCGCCCTCGACTCACACCTCCATCGTAAACACTCCATCGATGATAACGACTGGCAAACGGTTCCCTTCACTCGTACCACAGCGAAGTTGTTCTTCTTCTTCGCCAACTGCTGGCAACGTCGTGAGACTCGGACGCGAGGGTCCCTGCCTCCAAGCTGCCAGCCCTCCAATCCCCTCTGCAGAGACAAAGGGGCCCTGCCTGCAAGGCAGAGAGGAGAGGGAGGAGATTCCCCTCCCCACCAGGCATGTGACATCAAATTTCGCTTCCACGACAGAGAGTGAGACCTACCCTCCCTCCCATACAACAACCGAATCGAGCAACTCATGGTTCGAACCCAGCCGCTGCTCGAGCGAAGCGCCATCATTCCACCCCTTACGACACTCAACCCCCGGTCCATACTCATCAACCAACACCTAGCACAGCTCAACCACCTTGGCTCATCCCTCCAACCAAACCCACATCGCGGCAATTCCACA